ATGAGATGATATCTTTTACGTCTTTGTTTAATTGTTTTGTGGAATTCTCAAAATTGTTTTGATTGCATCCATGACATTTTCAAAGCGTTTGTCTGTTTGTATCATGTATGTTGTAAGCATTTCGTCATGCTTCGGCATGGCAACTGCAAGTTTGTTATTGTGTTAAGCTATGACATTTGTTTGAAATGCAAGATTTCTTACGTCGTCGGCATTGGCTGTGCCAAATAATGATTCAGAGATAGAACCGACAAAGTCAAATAGTCCTCTCTTTGTCCGACTCTTGGACAATATTGAAGATATGACATGTAGTACCAGAGCATGAATTGTATGCATAGTAAGATTTATTTGTGTTGACATGTCAATTCTTATCGTGCTAATTTGGGTAAGTAGATTGTTTACCAGATAGCCAGGAATAAGTTCAGCTTTGTATGTAGCTGGTAATGGAGTTGCAACTTCTATGGAAGGTTAATTTCAAATGTGTCTTGACCACGGAAAAATTTGCCTTCGTGTTAGAAGATATTTCCATAGTTTATTTTTGAATGTCTTTTCCAGATGTTGAAGTTACACATGAAACGAGTAGAAACCATAGTTGAAAGTAAAAAAAACACAAAAATACCGAACTCCAAGGAAAATTCAGAACGGAAAGTCCTTTATCAAATGGCAAAATCAAAGGCTCAAACGAATGGAAAACAACTGTCATATTCCTGACTACAGAAACCTGGTTGTATAGCTAACTAAACCTCTCATTTGTATGACAGTCGCATAAAAATCCATTATATTGACAAAAATGCGTGAACAAAACAAACAGACATAATAGGTAAAAATGTCAAAAATTGGAGTACATTGTGTTATAATCTTATCACTATAAAAACAAACAACTATGTCAACAAAGAAATACAAAATGGCATATAGACACTCTATAGACAAAACACATAAGCAAAAATGAAAGACAAGAATACAATAACACAATGGTGGGATGTATAAATACCGAGCAACGCCAAAAGGATACTAAACAGTAAAGGTTAATAATATACAAAGACACATAAATTGAACACAATAACACGTAATTAATATGATAAATAACGTCATTACCTAGAATCTATACTTCAAGACATCGTTTGCACCTGTCCTAAGTCAGGAATTTGATTACAGTAGTTGTCGTCTGTTTATGTAGTTCATACGTGTTTCTCGTTTCTCGTTTTTATATAGATTAGACCGTTGGTTTTTCCGTTTGAATGGTTTTACACTAGTAATTTTTTGGGGCCCTTTATAGCTTGCTGTTCGGTGTGAGCCAATGCTCCGTGTCGAAGGCCGTACCTTGACCTATAATGGTTTACTTTCATAAATTGTAACTTGGATGGAGAGTTGTCTCATTGGCACTCATACCACATCTTCCTATATCTATATCATGTATTATTTGTGAAGTTGATATGGAATATTTATCAACAAGGTCTTGGTAAATTTCGATGAACCTTTTTAGAAAAAGGACGAGACGTTCTTTGACATAACTCTAGTTCATCAACTTTCTGCTCAGACACTGGTGAAGTAGCAGCTGCATGCTCTAGAATACCGAATGAGTTGGGAAATTTATATCCCATATGCAGGTGAAGATGGTATATTGCTGATAATGTGGGGGAAATTGATAATTTCAAAATTAAAATCATCTCGTTTGTCATAGATTCTGGTACTGAGATGACCGCTTATGTCAAATTCGAGGTATAAGTATAAAAAGGAGGCGGAGGAAACCGTGTCTGTCATTTCTTTAATTTCTAGTTCTGGGGGATATATTAATGGAACCCAATCAGAGCATCATCAAAATATTTGAATGTGAAATTAAATTATCTGGCTTCTTTGATCGTCTTATTTTTGACAAGCGTCTGAAGGATCTCCGACTCATATGAAAATAAGAGTCGACAAGGAGAGGCACACAGTTCGTTCCATAGGGATGCCGATAATTTTTGGAAATTATCTACCTCCAAATTCAACAAATATGTTGTCAAGAAAAAAAACTGTAGCATACTGATTACTTGTTCCTCGGTGTAGCATGTTTTACCTTTTTGTAATGCACTTCTGATCAATGTTATCAGTCCTATAAAATAGAGGAAAGACAATAATTTTGAGATTTTGTGGAATGCATGTCAAATGTTTAGGGTTACAAATCTCCTGTTTAGTACTATGAAACATGAGAACTAGCTCATTAATGTTTGAATGGCATATACATCACAAAATGAAGCTAAATATTATTTGTGTGGACCAAAAAACTGATTATACTCATCAATATATCACCCTTTTTTTTTCTGCTTGAAGCTAGCTAGAGTTAACTTTATTTTTGCGTTTTGTGCCTTTACGTGTGTGTCGAAAATAAAAATCTGTAACACGATCTTTCGAAAAATTTGAAATAGATTCCCATGTTCTTTCAGAATAGACTTTCCATCTTATTCTGTAATGTTTAATGATAAATGCGTTTCCTTTTTTATGATTTTTTCTACTTCGTATGTTATGTTTTGCGTGTGTTTTGACTTTGATGGGCTTGAAAGTTTGGCAGAACCTCAGCTTGTCTATCATCTACTGGCATGGCTTGTGGTGGTGGGTTTGGATCCGGACAATTTCTAGAATCATTGTAGTGTTTTAGTCTGTTGGCATTCATCATACTTTGCATGATGGTGTGGCTATATCATCGACGTAGTTTATATAGAAATAAGAAGATGTGATATGAGTGCCAATGAGACAACTTTCCATCCATGTCACAATGTGTAAAAAGTAAACAATTATAGGTCAAAGTACGGCCTTCAACATGGAGCCTTGGCTCACACCGAGCAGCAAGCTATAAAGGTACCAAAATTGACAATGTAAAACAATTCAAACAGGAAAACCAACGGTCTAATCTATATAAAAAACGAGAAACACTTAAGAACCACATCAACAAACGACAACCACTGAAACAGGTTCCTGACATAGGACAGGTGCAAACAAATGCAGCGGGTTGAAACGTTTTAACAGGCGCCAACCTTCACCCTAACCTGAAATAGTAGTGTAACATTACAACATAGAAAGACACACTATAAAATATCAATTGAAATGGCTTAACTCAATCAAAAAGACATATTAACAAAATCAAGTAAACATACACTGAAAAGATAAATTTGATCTATGACACAATGTCAAAAAGACAACTATAACCTTGGAAAAAAAGGCGTTAAATAAAATAACGTACACAGGTAAATTTAAATATAATAATTTTGTTGTTAGGAGTACGGAGATATTTTTTACAAAATAAATAAATTTGTTGTTCATAGTACGAGAACAGCAGTGATATGATTAAGTTTTCTCGCTCTTATGTAAAAAAGGTCCAGTCCATTTACGATGAAGTTTTGAAGAGTGGCCTCTGGGTGTTTTCGGTGAGTGCATCAGGACTCTGTCTCCTATTTGAAATGTTGGTAATGCAGTCTTTTGTCATAATGTTGTTTATGGCGAATTTGTGCTTTCTTTATGTTTTAAGTAGCTTTTTCCTTCGCAATTTTCAAGTTGTCAAGGATCCCTTGAATATGACTTGATAAGTCCATGTTAAATTTTGTCGGATGGAATCTATGATATTTCTTTTGGGGTCTCTTTGTAAGTGGGGAACGATTCTGTCCATTTACTACAGTCTACTACAATAAGCACGTGCTGAAAACCCTGGTTTGTCTTCTTGAAGGGCCAAATGGTGTCTATGTGAAGCTTGGAGAATGTATCCATTATTGGCATTGCTGTTAAAGGAACACGTTTTGCATGCGTTCGTTGTTTGGATCGTTGACATGGATCGCAATTTTTGATAAAGTCTGCAAGTTTCTGATACATTCCTGGAAAATAAAACTTTAGCATGGCCCAGTAGGTATTATCCAATCCCGAGAGTCCTTTTTTATGGTATGCTTTCGTCAGACTAGACTGTTATCTGCAAGGGCAAGCGAGCTGTTTAATAAAACGATCATCGTTTTTTTTCTCCTCTTGGTATTGGTTGATAGAAGTTATAAAGTACACCATCTCGTAGACCATATTGAATGGATGCAGCTGTGTCTTTTTTTGTCAGGAATGTTTCCATCATGTAGGGTAGCATAAATGTTTTTAAAGTCAGGACATTCTTGATGTAGTTTACCAATGTCTTGAGGCTTAACATTTTCTCCCGGGTTTGTTGTTATTACTGCATCTGTTTGTTTTGGCCTTGCTGCATGTCCATTATACATAAATATTGTTTCTAGGGACTCGGGTCTTTCTTGCAATGCATTAACTTGAATGTGTGGCATGACATTTTCTTGATCCTCTGCAGTTTCAGTATGTTGTGGGTATTCTCTTCTCGATATGGAATCAGCATTTTTGTTGTTTTCTCCTTTTCGATGACTTATTTCGATGGTATATCTCTGATGAAGAACTGCCCATCTGTCTAATCGACCTGTTGATTGTTTAATTTTTGTTAAGTATGTCAATGCATTGTGATCTGTTTAAATTTTGTACTTGTTGCTAGCAAGATATACATGATATGTTTTAATACCCTCTACTACTATAAGGCATTCTTTTTCACATATGTTTCAATACTGTTCTGCAGTTGATAAGGATCTACCATTGTATGTTATGACTCTTTCTCTACAATGATCTTCCAGTTGCCCTAGTATATAATCAACTGTATGACCACTATCATCTGTTGTGAGAATGAATGGTTTTGAACGATCTGAATATGCTAAAACTCGTGCTGTTGTTAATACAGTTTTCATAGTATCAAATGCTTTTTTACATTGTTCATCCCACTTAAACAGTGCGTCCTTATGAAGTAATTTATTTAATGGCGAGCATATATGACTGCACATTCTGATGAGTTTTCTTTATTAAAGTCCTAGAAGACTATGAACTTCGGTCTGGTTTTTTTGTGTCTGAAATGGTTTACAGTCTCTACTTTTGAAATGTCTACTTTAAATCCATCTTTTGAAATTTTGTGACTAAGGTTCATAACTTATTGTTACTTTTATTTGAATGTTACTTTATGTATGCGGCCTTTGACCTCTTATGAGTGCAATTTGTGCTTAATAAATAACTAACGTCTTGTAGAACAGAAAACATTTATTACGAATCAGTATTATTTGAATTACAGGTATTCAGTTCTGTTCGATCCGATAGCATTAGTAGCCTGGAAAAAAAACCATGTGATAATTCAATAAAAGACGAAGGGAATAATACTACATCCATAAATATGGTATCATGGCACTACTTTTAATATGTCTTCGTATGTTATGTATTAAACTTAGTTTGTAACCCGAATAGTTCAGTTGGTATATTCCGCTGCTTTACGATGGCTGCACTAACCTCGCGTGGGAGAAAATCGGACACGGAGAGAGATTGAATTACTAAGTATTCCAGTTAATGCAGTTTGTTGATATTGATAAGACATGCTTCAGTGTGCAGATGTAGCTTTATTATTGACATCTATCAACGATTTCTGAAGGTTTACGTGTAAGCTTTTTCCTCCGCGTTGAGTTTCGCGAGGTGATTTTGAAATAAAGACCAGCAATAAAAGTGCCGTTTATTTTTGCTTTTTGATTTGTCACGTCGTATGTCTAGAGACCTATGCAATGATGATATACCATACCATTCCCTTTCGATAAAACAAGGAAAATAAAAATAAAATCAATCTTTAACTGAAATCAACAGATAAGGATTTGGTTTTTACAAGGTTCTTAATTAATAAAATCAATCTTAAACTGAAATCAACAGATAAGGATTTGGTTCTGTACTCTGTACAAGGTTCCTAATGGGAATATTAAGTACTAAAATGTTCCTGTTTCTGTCATTCTGGTTATAATTATCACTGTAAATACTATTTTGTTTTATTATAGAACATTTTTAAAGTGTTTTACATAACAAAACATATCAAATGAATTACTTTTACTCTTTCTGCAAAATATGTTATCTAAATCAAAATTTTCCTTTCGTGTCCCTTCGGATTCCGTCTGCAAGACAATGATTTGTATTACAGTTTGGGTTATTTTTTATTGTTTGTCCATATACATGTACATGTATCACAAAGTTTGTTGTATTTCATAAATACAGTTTTGAGAAACTGCTTTTTGTTTGTTTCACGAGGTTTTTTTATCATTATTATAATAATGTAGTATGATGCAGTCCTAATCCTGGATAACTGCTAAAATATTTTAAAATGCCTTGCTTTTATGACCTTGATGTTATCTTCTGTGTGATCATTAGCTGTTCCATTTTTCGTATATAAAGGTATATATTCAGTTGTTATAAGAGACTTTAATGAATTACGATTATAATTTAACCAATCCTGCACTGATGTTGATTTTGTAAGAAGGTTAAGAGTGAAAACAAACATTTTATTTCTGGGGAAAAAAAAGAAAAATGACAAATATTATAGTTCATATGTATATGAAATGTCGAAAGTGTAAAATTTCAATGCATACTAAAATCCGTTTTTTTTTAAATTGGTTTCCATTCTCACATTTTCAATTCATTCATTTAAATATTTATCTAGTTACTGAAAAAACTTATAATGTTAATTCATAATCTTATTTATATAAGCGGCAACAATAATCAAAACTTTAGGAAAAATAAACAAAGAGAAAAATCACTGAGGGAATTGCCAGCTCGGGTATGTGGACTGGGCAAGTTTTTCCCGCCATGCGAATCTTGATGCAGTCAAAAATGTCACGAAAGAGTATAGGACATAATCCATAAATTTTAATTAGACCACTTAATTATAATTGTGTCAAAATATAACACTACGAAAACATGTCATGTCGGGGCCTTTTATAACTTACTGTACAGTATGGATTTTGCTCATTGTTGAAGGCCAAACGCTGGCCTACAGTTGCTTACATCTATGTCATTTAGTCTCTGGTAGATAGTTGTCTCATAGACAATCATACCATGTTTCTATATTACTTCTCTGCGATTTAGAGCTTGACAATAATGTATAGGCGTTTATCTATTATTTACCAAAGAATGTATTTGTTTTTTTTCAAATTTTAAGGGGAAAACGATGTACAAATTGCTGATTTGCATCATGACGCAAAGCTATTAGTTTCATAATAACTTACAAAAGTTAGCTCTAATTGGTTACCTGACGATATTGCTTAGATTCTATTGGCTTAAATGACTTATATAATGGGTCTTACAGGGAGTAGAAGAAATTGTTAACGGTATATTAGAATCCGGATTAAATAGAATAACAGGGCACAAGTATAGTATACGTTTAAGTAGTTCCGGCTAAATTATTTCGCTGGTATTTATTATATTCATACACTGAGTACTAGGGGAGGTTTGAAAAATATACCAACAGGTCGACAAGTAACCCTAACCCTAACCCTAACTCTAACCCTAAAACTAACCCTAAACCTACAGGCCAGCAAGTCGACAGGTCGACAAGTCAACAGGTCTCCAACAATTTGATTATTGAGTCAGCAGGTTTACATGTCGACAGGTCAGCAGGTCGACAGGTAAGCAGGTCGATAGGTCAGCAAGTCAGCAGGTCAGCAGGTCGACAGGTCGACAAGTCAGCAGGTCGATAAAATATCCTCACTTAGAAACTTAGACCCTAACCCTACAGGGCAGCAAGACGACAGGTCGACAGGTCAGTAGGTCGACAGGTCAGCATATAAATAATTGGTCTCCAACAACTGGATTATTGGGTCATCCGTTCTACATGTCGACAGGTCAGCAGGTCGACAGGTAAGCAGGTCGACAAGTCAGCAGGTCGATAAAATATCCTCACTTAGAAACTTAGACCCTAACCCAACAGTGCAGCAAGTCGACAGACAGCATATAAATAATTGGTCTCCAACAATTAGATAATTGAGTCAGCCGGTCTACATGTCGACAGGTAAGCAGGTCGACAGGTCAGCAAGTCAGCAGGTCGATAAAATATCTTCACTTAGAAACTTTTTAAAAGCGACAGCCATTTATTTAGTCAGCGGGTCTACAGGGCAGCAAGGCGACAGGTCAACAAGTCAGCAGGTCGACAGGACAGCATATAAATAATTGGGCTCAAACAATCTACCTGCTGACCTGTCGACCTGCTGACTTGTCGATCTGCTGACCTGTCGACCATTTAATCTTTACAATATTTTAAATGCATACAATTCACTTAAAATTGTATGAACTTCAATTGTTTTATAAAAATGAAAACAAAATAACTGAAAATAAAAAGAAAACTCCTTTATATATATAAGAACCAATTTACCTACTATGAAAAATAATAATCCGATGGAACTACAATTACGTATTCTATACTTGATCCAATAACAGTATAGGTGTTCGAGACCCGTTCGATGAATTATATTTAGCTATAGGGTCGCGTCGGATACATTTTGTTAAACAAGAGTGGATAGTCTAAAGCGTATTTCCTTTGTTTTATACGTTTTATACACGATTCGTTTTCCTCAAATTATTTCCTATATGATATGTATATGATTTTTAATATCATATTCACCAGTGGGTACTACATTATATTAGAAATGAGACATAAATATTTTAGCTCTGTTCACGTTTATTATTAGATATGTTGTTAACCTATCATTGCATGCAGCTTAGACAGTATGGGTCTAGAACGTGCACTCAATAACACCCCAAGTATATAACGCCAACAATGTATGTGTAACCCTCGGAACAAAGTTAATTTACAAATACAATGTATGTGCATCTTTCGCATTGTACTTTAGCTGCCAAAGACGTCGAGCGTATCTCTTGTACCTGAAACAATTTAGTTCATTTAAGAGATTAAATTTATTTAGAAACCGTATTGCGTGTCAATCTAATCAAGGAGATCCAAAAATATCCTCCTAGGTCTGGGTTTTTTTTTTTCCTATCGTATGTTTTATTTTATTTTCACAGTCTACCTTGTCGTACCTTTAAAGAAAGGTTAATCTTGTTCCCTTTAAGACTTATTGTCACTTTAGATACTCGGAGCCCTATCAAGATTAAAGCCAAGGGCAATTTATGCTAGACGGGAAAAATTATATGAAGAGTAAATTGTTTTATGTCTTTACTTTGTTTGGAAAATAAACACTAGTTAAAGTTCATAGTTAATCTAACATGTTTCTTTTCAAATTATAAATACTGACCAAAACCGCCATGAAATATGGACGAAGCTGTTAAAAAGACATTTGAACAGAAATCAGTGAGGGAAAATTTCTGAAAGGGGCCGATACTTACGAATTTTTGATATTGAGACAACACTTATCTGTTTTATATACTTATAACCAAATGTTTATACCTACGCAATCAGATTATGATATTTTCTATATATATAAATGATTTTGAGAACCAGTTAAATAAAAGTGTTTTCAACTGCCATCAATCATGTTCGCCATCTTTATTCAAATTTTAGAAAGGGCCTCGGTGGCCGAGTAATCTAAGTAGTTCAACTACTGTATCACTAGCCTGTCAACACTGAGGTTGTGCGTTCGAGTACCACACGTGGTTGTATTCGACTCCAATCTTAATTGACTAGGATTGTCAGTTTTCCTGCTTAAGGTCGGTGATTCTCTCCGGGCACTCCGGCTTCCTCCACCAATAAAAACTGGCTGCCATGCAATGGCCAAATGTGCTGAAAGTGGCATTAAACTAGATAACTTACAATGATCGCTCTCACAAATATAACGCCATTTATATCCACATGAATAGTCAATCCATTTTGCTATTTTTCTTTGGAGCATTACGCAGTTATATTTAGTTCCTGATGCACCATACCCTCTGGTCCAAGGTAAAAAAGTGGCTTTGGTTTGATCATAGATCCATCGATACTCTCCTTCCTTCAAATCTGTCAGTCCTATCCAGTAATGCTCTTCTGCAAAAAAAAAATAATGTTATTTTATGACAAACAACCGGAATGATATTATGAACATGTCTAACGTATTAGTACATTTTAATACATGCATTAAAACACCAAGAAAAAATTCGTTTGCATATCGTTTTCCTAATTAGATATAAAGAAGTGTGATCAAGTGTGACACGATATTTCTCCTCTCGAGACCTGCCGAGCTATTTAAACATTCAAAATCTATTTATAATTTAACTGTCGATAGTTGAGAAATATCGTATTGCACGAGATAAAGTGGTGTTCTGTAATGGTTTTTAGATGATCTGTAGAAGAACTTTTTGAGTGATCTGCAAAAGTATATGAAATATGTGAATAGCTTCCCAAACAGAAAAATAAATGAACAAATTGCTTTCAAATCGTATTCAAATCTCTTTCAAATCGTGATTCTGTGATTTGTTAGTATCAATTGCTTGCGATTCATTAAACAAATCATAAACAAATCAGAATTTTCCAAATTCCCTAAAACTGATTTCTTTGTGATTTCTTTCTATTGTATGATTTGTAAGCAATTTGTTTCTGTTTTTGTGTGATTTCTTTATGATTTGTTTACTTAGAATATCCGATATGAAATGATTTGAAAGAGATTTGTTAACTTTGTTAGCTAGAATGGTGTGATTTCGTTATGATTTGTTAACTTTGAATATCATAAGAAATGATTTGAAAATGATTTGTTAACTTTGTGAGCTATCTTGGTGTGATTCATTGATGATTTGCTACAATGAATAAAATGTTAATGCATTCAAATTTTCTTTGTTTATCTATCTCTCTGACTTCCGGTTGAGGTCAAATTCAAATTTCAAATACTGTTCAATATTAACTGAACAAAGAAGGTTGCAAGATGAGGAGGTTTTATTCAGTCTATGAAAGATGACGGTGGTAAGGAATCTCAGTTATTTATTTATAATTTCACATATTCAACTAATACTATTCAAACGTTAACCTTTAAAATTCAGGAACTGTGCATTTCAGTATCTCGTTATAATCATAATAATTTTGTGCTGTAAGGATTAATTTTCAAAATAAAAATGTGTAAAAGATGTGTAAACAGATCAAAACATTCATTTCAAGACTAGCTTCCCGAGCCAGCAAACAAAATTCACTGGCAAGTTTAATGTTTTAATTGTTGTTTACTAACCAGTTCCCGGGCAAAATGGACAAAGCTATATTACAATGTAGCAGATTTGGACCAAGACTAAGACTCATCACCTATTTGACATCAATTGCTAAGTACACGTGGTTGCCTATGTTTTTTTTGAAATTTCGTTAGTCAAATTCGGAAGAAAAGTAAGAGAAACCTACACAGAGGGAACAATTCGTCCCTCATTGCAATCAAATATAGTATTCTTTTTTACAATAGAGGAGTAGCTATTAAAGGTAAAATGAAGACAACTGCGCTCTCAAAGTTTGGGGGTTTCAGGGCAGAACATATTTTTGATTTGGATGTAAATGATTTAATCTGTGAATTGCATGATGAGTGATGCCAATTTATGTACGATTTGCTTGTGATTTGCTTGGGGTAGGAATATATGATTTACTTCTCATTTGTTAAATATTTGAAAACAATTTGTTTATAATTTCTTCATAATTTGAAAACAATTTGTTAATGATTTGCTTGAGGTAGAAATATGATTTACTTCTTTTTTGTTTAAGATTTGATTACAATTTCTTTACAATTTCTTTACGATTTGAAAACAATTTGTTTGTGATTTGTTTAAGATTTGATAACAATTTCTTTACAATTTCTTTACGATTTGAAAACAATTTGTTTGTGATTTGCTTGAAATAGGAAAGCAATTACTTCTGATTTGTTAATGATTTCAAAACAATTTCTTGACAATTTGTTTATGATTTGCTTATGAATTATAAGCAATTTGTTCGTGATTTGTTATTGTGATTTGTTAGCTCATTTGCATGTGAAATTTTATCACTTTCAAATCACAAAGAAATCATACGATTTGTTTATCATTTGTTACCATGATTTGTTCCTCAATTTTTTTTGTTTGGGTTAGTTTTACAATAAAACAAGTGTACGTGGACTTTCTTTTAAAAGAACATTTTAAACTTATCACCATCTTCAGAAATGTACTGCAATTGAATTATTGTCTTCCCGCAATTCGTCGATATTTTCTGTATGCAGTATCCTTACTACAAGACCTCTCGTTGGAACCCCTGCCACCGCACAGCGCAAGTACGCGGGAATAACCGTGATGAAAGAATGTAATCAAACATGCACTGGAAGGTAAATAGTCATAACTGATTCTTAAAGAACAAATAAAATACACCAAATCACTCAACAATTGTTATGGAAAAGTTTATTCAACAAATGAGAACGCATAGAAAATTTAAAAAAAAACATCGCATTCAATTCATTTATTTGTTCACGTGATCCAAGATTCCGTGTTGATTGTTTATCAATGTCACGATCCGGTAAACTTTGACAACATACTCGAAAGTTGATTAGCTTGCGATCAACAATCACTGAATGATATATTATTTGTCGGTAATACGTTATAAACTCGTAATTTATGTTAAAAAAACATGCAATGAGGACTTAGTTTAGTATATACATGTATGCATGCATTGGTTCAATAACTTCCTTAACATTATAATTACACGAAACTCGTTTAATATGACTTTAAATTCTATGGTGTATAAATATTGCATTTAATTACATGACAGTATTATTGAATATATAACGTTACTCACTCTTAAGCCGTCTGTTAGATGATATGGCTTCGTTTTCAGCCTTTTCATCAAACTTAACCAAATATCCATCCATTTTTCTACAACTATTCTACAAAACGAAATGAACAAATAGTATGTATGTATCATCACAGACATAGATTTCTGTTCTGGCGTAAGTTGCCCCTTTTATTATCTGGAAAAAGAAAACAATTTTATCATACTAGGAGATCATATATGTAATGCAACAGTAATCTCTCTTTTTTTCAGTTGAAGTTGCAAATATTACATACTTAAAACAAGTGGAGGTTGACACGGCTAACACATGCTCCCTATATTGCTCATTGGTGAATAGTCGCCGACCTACATAAATAATTTCGGATTAAATAGTAATCTAGAAGAAAAAATTTTAAAATTCTACTCAAGTGTCCTTTTGTTAATAATTTGGAACAGTCCTTAAAACAATTTGACAGGGCACACTTAAGTTATGGTCCGGTATCCTGTCTATACTTTCATTTTGGCATGGTACAAGGTCATGCTTTTTCAGACTTTTTATGACGTCTTGACACTAAATCGGTTGCACATGTACTGATTGGTACATTATTGATTGACTATAAACTAGCTTTCAGTAACTACGTGTCTGTCCCAAGTAGGGAACCTGTATATTTCTCGTCACAGCTACTGACTATGTTGAACGCATCTATCCCATCGAACTTGAGATAAAGGATACAACAGAAACAGTTAAGTCTGCCTCATATCTTGACTAACATCTAGAAATTGACAATGAGGGTCGGTTGAAAACAAAACTTTACGACAAAAGAGATGATTTCAGCTTTCCAATTGTGAACTTTCCATTTCTATGTAGCAACATTCCAGCAGCGCCTTCATACGGAGTATATATCTGCCAGTTGATACGATATTCCAGGGCTTGTATTTCCTATCATGATTTCCTTGATAGAGGGTTGCTGCTCACAAGGAAGCTATTAAACCAAGAGTTCTAAGTGGTGAAGTTGAAATCATCCCTTCGTAACTTTTACGGACGCCATCACGAGTTGGTTGACCGTTATGGAATATCCGTTTCACAGATGACAGCGGATATGTTCCAAATGTCGTAACTACAATTTCGTCCCCTTTTCCTCGAATGTGATCTACCGATTTAGACTTATTGTACTAACATGAGCAACACGACGGGTGCAACACATGGAGCAGGATCTGCTTATCCTTCTGGAGCACCTGAGATCACCCCCAGGTTTTGGTGGGATTCATGTTGCTCAGTCTTTAGTTTTCTATGCTGTGTTTTGTGTACTTTTGTTTGTCTAATGGTCTAATTCTTTTTTAGCCATGGCGTTGTCAGTTTATTTTCGACTTATGAGTTTGAATGTCCCTTTGGTATCTTTCGCCTCTCTTTTAGTCTTTATGTTCGAATTTTTTAAATTTTGTCATAGAGGAACATTTTTTGTCTTGTAGGTTTTATCAAATGCGTGTAAGGACTGTATCATCAAATAATAGAAAAATGAGAAGATGTGGTAAAATTACCAATGAGACAACTCTCCACCAAAGACCAAATGACATAGAAATTAACAACTATAATAGTTCACCGCATGGCCTTCATACATATACTCTTATTTTCAGTACATAGAATGTATATAACATTATAAATGTCATCAGCAATAGTTCCGATTTATTATACCATCGAGGTGCAGTTTACGTCAAATTCTTCCGAAAATAACTCTTAGATTGCTCATGGAAAGAGACTTAATGACATATGAAACGAGTTTCTGGTATATTTCATGTTTAGGAAATTATTGAACCAATCCATGCATATATACTAAATTCAGTCATGTGTCACTTTATTTTACATTTACCTCGAACCCAAAACGTATAATCTACGAAAAACATTTCATTCGGTGATTGTTGATCGAAAAGGTCAGCTACTTATTAGATTTCGGGTTTTGTTGTCGAAGTTTACCGAATCGTGACCCTGATAAACAACCAACACAGACGCAAAGAGGACGTGCTTTTTTTTTCATGTTTTCCCTTGTTTATCATTATCATAACAGTTGTCAATTGATTAGATGTATTTTAAAGGTTTCTTTCTGATTCGGTTGATACTAGTAATTTTTACGTTTGGTTTTCTTTACGGTTTTTTCCTTTGCACTTGCGCTGTGATTGTCGGATTAGAGTACGGGAAGACAATAATTCAAGAGCCGTACATTTCTGAAGATTTTGATAAAATAAAGGATTTTCTTAATAGTTAAACTTAGCCATTCAAGTATCTAAAATATTTTCATCTTTTTTATATATTTACATTTGACACTTTTCAAAAATCAATTAATCAAAGCAAACAAAAAAGATGGAATATTTTATAGTCTTTTAGCTGAATTTTGTTCAATGGAATTTTATCAGTTTACCAAATGATATATTGCAATACAAACAAAAATACACAAAAAAAAATGAAGTAAGAAATATTTGTTGAATCCAGTGTTTAAAGGTCAGACTTACTTTAAATAAATCTAATATGAAAAGCACTAAGTTAAACTGTTCTTTCCTAGAATTAGATATTTCCGTTTACCACAGGATTTTTTTTCTCCACAAAACGGACGATTTTTCATTTCCTATTGTTATTTTTCATTTTTTAAGATGTGTCTTTGGCATCATCTTACGTTGTATAAAATACATAAATGTAACATTGTATGATGCTTGGGAAAATGTCGCATACTGTATCGAAGGCATTCGAAGGTCGTGCACGAGTATATAATTATGGTTTTCTGGACGTATCCAATCTCGTCGGTAGACTAATTCGGGTGATAGTTTCATTTTGGCTGTTTTAACACAGTAACGTCCGACATGAATGGAAACGTTAATGGAATTCATAAGCCCGCATTCGTAGAGTGTCTAAATTCCGGCGACAGTAATGTACCGCTGTTTAAATCTCGTAAATCGTGAAGGAAGAGACAAATCGAGGTAATAGACAAAGGACTGTGGGAATAGAGTCAACTAAAAAAGGCGCGATATAGGTGTATCGAATAGGTAAGCGTCTACTGATATGCATACATCACCCGCCATGCGATCTTGCACTCAGTCAAAATGTCACAATCGGAAATGAAACACAATCGGTTCAGATTCAGACGACTATACATGTATCTTAAGATCTAGGACTGCGAAAATATGTCGCTAGTGAGGTGAGCATCGGACACATCGTAAAGGTCAACCATTATTGCTAGATGTCCTTTCGGCCCACTATGTCCACAGAACCTACCAAATTCATAAATTGTAATTTGCTGTGAGCATGCGTGTTTATAATGTTGTATATTTTATCTATGATAACAAGTGATGGGATTTAAATAGTGTATTAGTCGTTACAAATAGGTAATCATCCGAAATAAAATATTTAATACTGACCTGAAAACACAGACACCCGCAAGTCCCTTTTAGCAGTCTACATGAAGATGTAAACTCTCTCCGGTCATCAGATCTATTGGGTATTCCCAGTTATTGCAGTACGTCAACACTTTGATTAAACTTGTAAATAACGCAGATTTATAGAAAAATGTGTTTTTTGGGATGGGGATCTTTTCCACTTTCAGTTTTATTCACCAAAACGTTTCAGTCTGGAAATTAACGTTGTAAATTTTACGATACCGATTTCCTAGCTAATCATTCTATATATAAAAAAACACAAATATAGATGCGTACAACGGATAAAAATCTGCAAACCTTATAATTTTATTGATGTTTCTTTGGACCATCTCTTTGTATTATATGTCTCTGTCTGAACAGACAAGTTGTTTTCTCGATAAACGAACTTTTTCCCGATATACCGTCATACAAACGTAGTCATGCGGAATGAGCCTTCAATAAATTTCAAATAAAGACTGATTTTTTTTAAATGATTTTTAAAAGACAACGATAGTCACTTACCTCTGCAGTGAACCAATCAGTGAGATCTTCGCTGGAGTAGTAACAGTGTTCTTTATATTTGTACCATTTTCGTTCTGAAACTAAATGATAACATTAAATACTCATATGATGCTCTTATTATTTTTATCAGCAAATATTCGCATATATTACCTTCCATTCAAAATTCATTTGGCTTGCAAGTGTGCCGTCATACAGTTCTTGGAAAAACAAGAATGTTTTTCTCGAAATATCAAGCTGCTACGCAAAAACTACATTTTTTCGATAGCTTTAAAACAACCACGTGTCCATTAGAAATCCTGTGTTTGTTGAGATCTTTATATTACTTGTAATTTTCATTCCGAATTTCTAATGACGACGTCAATTTTGTGCTTTATCTATATATTGTAACACGAATATAAAAGTTGAATTCGAATCATATTTTTGCCAAAAAATGAACAAAAGAGAAGAATACAAACTTTGTTGTCAATTATATTCAAAGTATATAATTTTTGACAATATAGCCAAAGGTTGTAATGAAATAAGGTTGAAACATAATAAATGACATTTATAGAAAAAAATAAGCACATGCAGCTTCAAACAAACTTTTAAAAATTCAATACGTGTCGTATATAGAAGACTACTTTTCAAAACACAAAGCAAAGTTTTGATACATTTATATATGTGATATACAATTTTTATTGATTACCGACATCTTCGTCATTTCATCTATAATGAAATGCTCCGTGGGGAGCAGTTTGATACGACAGCACAAGTCAAACCCTAACAGTTGCCAGGAGCAAGTATGGACACTACATTGAAGCTTAATACAGCTCTGAACTTGGATTGTGATTAAATATTTGACACAGCATAGGTTTCTGACACAGAATTAAAGTGGTCAAAGAACTGAAAAATTTAAATTGGACTTTTACTTAGTATGGTCCTATATTCAAAATCTAAATACACGGTTGGATTCAGTATATCCAAGTACACCAAGAATTCATTTAATTTATTCATTAATGGACAATATCAGCTAAGTTTTTTAAATGCTCCGCAAAGGAATTTAGTTGAAGCTGCAATTGGTAGGAAACCTTTTGTCAAATTAATTAATAATTTTTGGTGTTTGAATATTGCTACAAGAAGGGTACAGATGGATGTGTATGGTAGTTGATGTTTATTCGCCATCAGGTAATGATTGAAGTTTTTAAACATATTGTGACTTAGGATGATGGGAAAAGGGGAGGAAATTCATTTTTTTTTTACATTGTTAAACTGTTAGCATTTAGAAATTAATATTGATAATTTAGCAATTCTAAGAATGAATGATGTAGTGGAAATGAAATGCAGAATAAAATTTTATCTAAGTTAAAAGGATAATAGAATTATATTATAAAGAACTGAAGATTTTTTTTTATTTTTTGCAAAATAGGATAATGATATTGGATAAAATTGTGGCATGGATTGGTACTTGTGGTTTATGTGGTTGTAATTCTAAGGGGTTGGGATGTTATTGAAATCATTTAAATACATGTTAACAATCTTAAAATAGAACAATGCAAGAACAATAATCACTAAAATCTGAATCAGCAAAATTCTAAGTAATATTTAAAAATAAAATAACAGCTTCTCATTTGCATATCATCTCAAAGATAAGACATAAATTATAAGCTAAAACATTGTAAGGGAGGTAACTCTTAATGTAAAAAAAGAAACAAATGTAATTGATCAAATAAAAGCAATTCAGCATAGCAAAAACCCTTACCATTTAATTGCTGTTGAAATCAAACAAAGTTTAATATTGGACCCTTTGGACCCTGATGTAAACCAATTTGAAAAATGGGCCTAAAATCTAAAATCTAATCACATTAATAGATTCAGCATATTGAAATCAATCAAAAGTTTAATTTTGCACCCTTATTTGGACCCACTTGAAAAAACGGCCCAAAATCAAAATTCTAAATACACGGTTAGTTTAAGCATATAAAAGAACCCCAATATTTCAAGATTATTTAAACCCCATTGAAATAAGCAATTCAAACAAAATTTTAAAAATTGCTTGTTTTTTACCACTTTTTGGTCCCTAATTCCTAAGCGGATACGACCATAACCCCTAAATTCAATCAAACCTTCCTTTTGTGGTATAAAACTCAATATCATAGAGATCCATACACTTATACTCAAGCTATCGTCTGGAAACCAAATGTCTTCGGACGACGACGACGACATCGCCATACCATTATACGGTCGCAAGTTTTTTGCGGTAAAATAATAAAACGTTGAAAATGAAAAGAGAATGTACAACTCAGAAGAACCATATCTAAATGGTCGCTCTAATCAAGATTTACATGATTTTAACATCTCACCTTTAAAGTTTTTTTCTAACGAAGAAAAATCGTATCCAAAGTCTTTATCTTTTGATCCATGGTATCAAGTATACTTTTTAATTTTCCGATTCCTCCTCGCATATTACTTAACGCACTCTTCGAATTGGCAATGAAAGGTGAACTAAGGACAAATGTACTAACAGTTAACAGCAGAGCAAACTGAAATTGAAATTTCATCCTGTCAAATCCTGCAATTAAATACAAGAAATTTACTTTAAATATTGTTTTGAGACCTGCGTACCTCGAAGCGTTTTCTTAAAATTACCGGTTTTCATATATTTTTTTAGCAGTAAATGTTAAGCACATGCAAATACCAACTTAATATCAACACAATGTTCGTCTCTATAAACAGCACATTTCATGCAAAAAATGGATAGAAAAATTAAAATTTTGTTTCTTTGGACCATCGAATCTTCGTGAATATTCATAAATAATTTAATTTTGGATGTAACACGTCTTCTGATTGGCTGAAAGTGTTTTGTCTATCAGCTCATAGACATAATTTTGTCATGTGGCCGTGACGTCATCAACGTTTTTATCATGATTTACGCCTTTTTAGAATTAAATTATAAGGAATGACTGTTATATTTTTTCTGTCTATTCGAAATAACCTAAAACATGTGGTGCACACTTTTAAATAAACAGCTACGCGTGTTATTCAGTGTGCACCACATTTTTGATGTTATTTCTTCATAGACAGAAAAAATATTACAGTCATTCCTTAATGATTCAAAGATCTGACAGGTTAAACTTTTAACATACTTATCGATTATCTTTACACCAAAAACATCTGATTTTTTAACACTTCCAGGTCAAATAGCAACTCTTCCTTTTGCTCTTTTCAAAAACTTTAAATTCTATTTTCACACTTAAAATTCCGTCAGTCTATTTTATTCTGTTTCGTCATGTTTTGCTTTTTGACACACAATAAGGATACTTGACTATACAAAAACATTTAAGGAATTATGGCCTTCAATACAGTAATTTAATAATATCTAAAATCGGATAGTTAATTAGTTTATTCGACGGCTCTTCTCCTATTCTGAAAAAAATATTTAGTACAAACGAGAGAGAGAGAGAGCAATGAAACAAGTATGTCAATGTTACTTTCTAAAATTTCTTGCCTATAATAGTATAAGGCTTAAGTACTTTTGTGGACTGGAAATATAAACATTTTGATGAATTCAGATCGTATGTGGAGACTGATAAGCTAACATCAATGATAGATATAAGAAGATGTGGTATGAGTGCCAATGAGACAACTCTCCATCCAAGTAAAAATTTATAAAAGTAAACCATTATAGGTCACAGTACGGTCTTCAACACGGAGCCTTGGCTCACACCGAACAGTAAGCTATAAAGGGCCCCAAAAAATTACTAGTGTAAAACCATTCAAACGGGAAAACCAACGGTCTAATCTATATAAAAAACGAGAAACGAGAAACACTTATGAACCACATCAACAAACGACAACTACTGAACATCAGATTCCTGTCTGGAAAACGACTGACAATTCTTCAATAGTTTTCAAGTCACTACTTTAATATCATGCAAGGTGTTTGTACATTTACTTAAAGTGTGCACAACTTTTTAATTTTATATATGATCAGGATTTTGACTTTCTTTAAGTTTTCCACATATAGCAGGTTTTGAATTATTGTCATTTTCGGTAAAATTATGCATGTGTAAAATAAAATAATGTCCTCCATGAAATATTGTTCGTCGGACAAAATTCCACATAAAATATTGTCCACATACACTATTTAATACTGAAATGCTGTGCAGGACAATATTTCATTATAAAATACAGTGTCCTTGTTCATGAAATGTTGTCACCTCCATCTGGACAATATTTCACTGTGAAGTTCTTTCCATGACAATATTTCTTAATCTAACTATGTCTTCCCTAATGAATCATCTGCAATCTTCCCTAATTAAATCCTCTGCAATAACGTTGTGAGCGTTTTTAGAATTGCTTTTTAAAATATTTTTCATGAAAAGTATGTGTATAACCATAAATTGCTGCTTAAATTAATTATGCAGGTATGTTTGTTATCATCAAGCAAATAAAACACTTTGATATATTATCCAAAATATTAAATGTTTATAACCTCCCTTTCATGAGACAAAATTTCATGACAATCCATCTATGAAACATTGTCTCAATATATAGAATATTTAACCTCTATTTAACAAGACAAAATGTAATACCATACATCTATGAAATATTGCCTGTATATGGTTTCATATGGAAATTTGTCCTTCTCTAGACATTATTTCATAGATAGGGACAAAATGTCATGATACAAAAGTTTTCAATCTAGAATATTTATATCATGAACGGTGTTACAATGTAGTAAATTTATTAAAGATGTTCGTGTTATCAGGATTTCGATTTTCTTTAAATCCACACATGACTGAATCGGATATTCAATAAAAATAACAATTTCGTGCGTCTAACGCGCTTTTCTGGATCTACCTTCATAATTACCGCTCAAATCCAAAACAAATTTAAGGCAAGAATGTCATTGAAGCCTAACGCACGAATAGCTATATGAACAAAAGGGACCTAAAATAACATATCACATTATAAATTGCAAAGTTATGAGCTCTTAGTTATGCATTATTCATGTTGGTAAGTCAGTTTTGGTCCAAATTTTTTGATATCTATTTCAGTTTTTTTGCAAAGGTAACTTTGTAAGCGTTTTGGCATCAGTACATTTTTCAAAAGCCCGAAAATAGCATAAAACCACAATGTTTTGACAACATTTTCAAAACGTTTCGAATCGTAAATTGTCTTTGGAGCATACATTGTACTCTTATGAAGACATTTGTTTTACTTGTACTAAGGCTTTTGAAATAGACCCATTTAAAAACCAAAGAGTGGTCAATTTGATATTTTATGAAAAAGTCAAATTCAATGCCAAATTGGGGTGAAAGTGAACCTGGTTGTTGAAGAGGTATTGTGAATAAGAATTAAGTAACATTTGTTGAAGAGGTATTGTGAATAAGAATTAAGTAACATTATATGTATGTGTTGTAAATTATTTCTCATACCACAAGCAGATATTTATATTATATACCTCAAAATAGAAATGCATCATTGTGTCAATGTATTGATGGTGAAAATTCACATGCATTTGCATTATATGAATCATTTTTACAAATGTTATCTGCATTACGTACATTAAGAATCTTCAAAATTTCCAAATTATTCTTGCTATTACGATATAGTCAAGTCACATACAATTATAATAGTCTGTGTCCTCGGCATCTTTTTTATCGCCCTGGACGAAATTCGCGAATGCGAAGTATAGTTATCCTAAATTCCGTCGTCGACTCTTTAGGTTCAGTCTGTTGTAAAAGTTTTCTTAGACATCAATAACTTTATCAAACACTCATAGACTTTTAATGAACTTTTCCCCAGTCTCTCCGTGATTGAGGGATAGCATCTGGAGCACAATTAGAAAACTTATCCAATGCATTTGTCCGTACTTTACAAATTTTTTCCAGCTAACATTTAAACATGGGTCTTTGATTCAAGTTTTTTTAGACAGCAATATCTTTGTCACACCTTATGTCTAAGGTTATTTTTTTTAAACCTTTATATCCTTTTTCAAACCTCCATGGAGTTTCAGGATACTTGTATACTATAATTTTTTTTTATTTATAAGCCTCCTATTGGAGAGTATATAACAAAGCAAAGACAATTACAATTAATCATATACAAACAAAACGAGTTATGATTTACACAGAGACAGTTAATAAAGACGGGATCACGACGAAAAGTTCAATTATTTACACATGTGCTTTAAAGTTTTTTAAAGATACAGTAATTTGTGTACTACTAGTAGCAGTTGCAGTTCTGTAACAATTTACAAGAATTGTAAATAAAATTTACACACGCAAAGTTAAACTGTTCACGTTCCTCATTCTCTAGATCAAAATCGGTGTCACAGGCAAGAATACAATTTAGCAATTTATTGTCAGTCATATTTCCTAAGTGAACACTAAATGTCATCGGGTTTATGTCTATAACACTCCTCCAAAATTGATCTCGAGCATCAACTGTATAGTCACATGATAGTATTGCATGGGTACAAGGATCATCAAAAAGTTTACCACATTTATCACATAATATTCTGTTGTTTTGTAAGTTTTCACGTATAAGACAGCACGTTGATGTTACAAAATGGGCCTGCCTGCGCATCAGTGGGTGACGTAGTGCTACTCTCCACGCCGCATGCGGTACACAAAACGAGTGAATGTCTTTAAAAACAACAAAATCGGAATCCACTGCCATACGATGATGCCACTCTACTACTTCAACCTGATAAATTGACGACTTGACTATCGATTTCCAAGTTGCATAACTAGGAAATTGTCCATCATTGAGAAACTGATCTACATATTTCGATAAACCATATTTTGTGAGTATTTCAATAATGTCACAAGCGAAACCTAATCTGGTGTCATATTGATTATATCTAGCATCAATGAGTCTACGGAGAAGAATACGGAATGAGACAGCTGAGTATGGAAGGCGACATGTTCTTCCAAAGAACAACAGTTTCCGTTCACATATAAAACTTTCAATTGAAAGCCATCCTAACAATGACAAGCACATGTCGCTTCTTGTTCTTCTAGGTAAACCTTGTATGAATTTACAAATATAGTGGTGAGTTCTTTCAAGCATCAGTGTTTCAGTGCAGGTAAGTTTTCCCCAGAGTTCACAACCGTATAGTGTTTTCGGATAGCAGAGCTGACGGATAATCTTTGCGCATACAATTGAATTTACAATGGCTGGGTGTATTCCAAGGCGTATAACTGATGTCGTCGTCGAGCGCAAGGTGCGACAAGCTTTAAGAGTTCTGTCCATTGTTTTTAAAGATGTGTCTAGTTGAATACCAATATGTCGAGCAGAAGTTACATAGTTGATCGGTTCTTGGTATAGATATGTTGGAGTAGAAGTTCTGCGTTTACCGAATTGTAATAATTTGCTTTTTGCTGGTGAAAACGTGAAACCCCACATGTTACTATAGTTCTCACATATTGTTACCATCCGTTGTGTCGAAACGCAGTTTGTAGCAATAAGAGCAATATCGTCTGCCTGAACTGGAGAGCTAGCATTAAGATCATGAAAGAATGCACCTTCTTTTGAAGATTCTAGTTCGTTTATAAGG